AGTGGTTATTATTATATTTACATGCTTCCAGCTCCCGTTTCTGCTCCGTGACAGCTGTACTTTTCCTTTTTCTCCCTCCTCGCTCACAGACACATCACGGGTATGGCAGTCCATTCTCCCTGCAGCACGGACTACACTGCCCATCAGGCTGCATGCTTTAGGGCGATGCCTGTAACACTCTGCCTGTTGCCTTCATATTAAACAATTTTTGTGAATAATTTTTAACAAATATTTCTTCCAATCATTATGCTGCTGCAGGTAGGGGTGACGTGGGCCGTGAGACTGAGACATCAGAGCCTCTTAATGCGTGTTTGTTCGGGTTTCCACCGGCGTGGAATTACCAAAAATAGAGAGGACATAGCCAAACATATGAAACAGGAAAAGACTGCCATGTAATCCATTTACTTCAACAAAGTAACTGTATTCTGAATATCATCTTTTCATTGGTAACTGTAACGGAATACAGTTACTCATACTTTGTATTTTAAATACATAACGGCGGTGCATGTACTCAGTTACTCCCCAACACTGCCAAAATGCTTCTCTAGAACTTCGAGGCCCAATATGTCTTTGTGTGGGTGAAACCACAGGATGATGACCGATGACATTATGCCATTATATTAAGAAAGCCTCATGGTGGTGTCAGGAAGGTCAGAGTACTTCCTGAAGAGCTTCACAGCCAAACGACCGTCCTGTGATTTTATATCTGTCTCTGCTGACGTCACGCTGCAAAGGCACAAAGCCTTCAAGTGGAGAGCAACAACAGTTCCCTCGTCATGATTCATTTATTAAAAAGAAAAATATTTCCCCTGCTGGTGTAAAAACCACTCAGGGCGGTCCTGACTGTGGAAGCCACCTGAGGAAGAGCTTCAGGGGATCCTAGAACTTCCTCAGTAACCTCTCAGTGACCAGTTTTACATTCTCACGCATCCCTGCGGCTTCCTCACAGAGAGGTCAGCCCAAAATCACCATCTGCCCATACAGCAGCATCACCTCTCAGGTGAAGGGGCCGCTCACAGTGAAATGTGAGCATGTGTAGTCTTTGTGTATCTACACGTTCTTCTGCACAGCCATGCTGTGGTTGGTGAAGTTCAGAAGAAAAGAAAACTGCAGAACGAACTTTGAGGGCTTTTGTTTATTGTTGGTAACCAGGTGAACAGACACTACTGCAGCTCTTCATGTTTTCTAAGCACGGCCAGCATCCTGTCTAGAACCAGTTTCACGTCTTTCTCCTGCAAAAAGTCTGAACTGGTACCACTCACTTCACCAGATGCACCTTGTTTAGTTCTCTCACCTTTGATTGGGTGTGGTGCTTGTCCTCGATTGCACTCACCTGTCACACATTATATGTCACACATTATATAAGGACTGCATTCACTTTTGGCTCACTCTTTCTTCACTTCCACACGGGGCGGCAGCTGAGGTGAGGTTCTATTTGGGTTTTATTTTATGTATTGTTTAAGGGAATGAGTAACTTAAATCTCTGTTTTCCTGTTTTCTTTCAGCTGTGGCAGTCCATGAGTGTCTTTGTTTCCTTCCTTCTTTGCCTTATTTATTCGAGAATAAAAGGAGAACCCTGAGAATAATTCTGAATTAGATGGCTGCTTATTCTTCTTCTAACCGGATGAGCCCATGATGCTGATTGCTTAAGCCCTGAACCTTCCTTCCTTCAAAACATGGTAAGCGTGTCGTGGAAACTAACAGTTGGTAAAGACGCAAAGTTTCGGTGTTTTTTTTGCTTCAGGCTGGGGTCCTTCTGATGTTGTTTTCCCCAGAGCCGATACTTAGAGGAAGGACGTCATCCAGGCTGGTTCTGATAAGGTACCAAGACCAAACTGGATCTGCACCACCACCGGGACCATGTCGGTGGAAAACTAGTATCAGACATCTCTGAGAAACTAAGATCACATCGATCTAGGAGAACAAACAGTCTCTATAAGGAAGTCACAGGAAAGTTTGAGAGTCCTTGTGAAGGGCTCATGGGCTTGTGAAGAGACTGAGAAGGTTCTAGGAGGACTTGAATATGTTGTAGAAATCTTTCACAGGACACTCTGAAGACTTGCTTCAGAAGGTTACAGGGTTCTCAGAGGAAGACCTAGAAGTACATGATCACATTCTAGAGAAGCTTTGTGGTTCCTTAGAGATGCTGAGTGTCAGTGAGGTATTGCATTGCATCATTAAGGAGTCCTTTATGTGCTTTTGTAACTTTTGGAGGGGAGCAACTGATCAGAAGGTACCCAGAGTCCCGTGGGCACCTGTGGGCAAAGAATGTCTGTGAAGGTTCTCAGTCATCCAGGTCATCTTAGTCAAAGGAGCTTGCAAAGAAAAGCGTCTGGACTTCTTTAAGTTACTTGAAGACGTTTCACCTCTCATCCGAGAAGCTTCTTCAGTTCTAAGGTCAAATGGTGGAGAGTCCCAGATATAAACCTAGTGGGAGT